GTCGCTAGGAGGGTGGTGAAGCGCTGGCACAGGTTGCCCAGAGAAGCTGTGGGTGCTCCCTCCCAGGAGGTGTCCGAGGACGGGTTGGAGGAGGCTTTGAGCACCCTGGTGTGGTGGGAGGTGTCCCTGACCATGGTGGGGGGTAAGAACTAGATGAGCTTTGGGGTCTTTTCCAAGCCAAACCAGCGTCTGGTCCCACGTGTGTCGTCGCATCCGCCTTAAGGTGCTCGGTGCCGATGTCTCCAGGAGATGATGTGGCTTTGGCAGTGACAATAAATGTCCCTTTCCCCTCTGCCCAGCGCCCTCACTGGGTGCGAAGGCTGGCTGGAAGCCTCGGCCACATGTAGCTCTTGGCGTGGTGCCTGGTTTTGCCCTGGGAAGGGTGTTTTTTTTGCTCACAGGGAGGGGGCAGGGCCAAGTGAGAGGTTCTCCCGTGGGGTCAAAAGGAGCCAGGTAGCTTTCCCTGCCTACCCCATGTCCCTGCGTGATGGGGACAGGGCGCTGTGTGAGCCTGGGCGGGAGAAAATGGATTTGACAGGCGAGAAGCTTGAAGCGTTGGAGCTGGTGGCTTCCCCAAGTGCTGGGGATGCTCCCAGAAGTCGCCATCTTGCTCCTCAGCTGCCAGCCCGGTCCAAAAACCAGCGTCGGGAGCATTTGAAGGGAATCACACTATTTCTGTCTTGTCCCCGTGGGATTTTTTTTCCCCGTCATTGCCCACCTGGACCCTGATTTCCACCTCAACGTCGCTTAGAGCTGCTCCAGGTCCTTTTTCATTACCCCCAAGGGGTGAATTCATGGCTTGGGCATTCACCAAAATCTCACTTTTAGCCTTGTTTTCCCTCCACATGGCCAAGACAGGCAAATAGCCGGGGGTAGGTGTGGTGTGTTGCGTCCCACCCCGGGTTGTTAAGGCCCCCCTGCCCATCTCTGCTTTTCCAGGTGCACCAGGAGGATGGAACCAGCGTCGGTGAGGACGAAAGCCCCCTCTTTTCTATCCGACCTGGGCAAGGCCACGCTCCGGGGCATCCGGAAATGTCCGCGCTGCGGCACTTACAACGGCACCCGTGGCCTGAGCTGCAAGAACAAGAACTGTGGGAACGTTTTCCGCTACGGCGCGCGCAAGCAGCCCAGCGTCGACGCCGTCAAGATCATCACCGGTTCCGACTTGCAGGTTTATTCGGTGCGGCAGAGGGACCGAGGACCGGATTACCGGTGTTTTGTGGAGCTGGGGGTGTCGGAGACGGCGATCCAGACGGTGGACGGGACCATCGTCACGCAGCTCAGCTCCGGCCGCTGTTACGTGCCGTCGTGCTTGAAAGCGGCCGCTCAAGGCGTGGTGGAAAACCAGTGCCAGCACGTCAAACTGGCGCTCAACTGCCAGACTGAGGCCACCCCGCTTGCCCTGAAAAGCTCGGTCCTCAACTCCGTGCAGGCTTCGCCCGAAACCAAACAAACCCTCTGGCAGCTGGCCACGGAGCCCACGGGCCCGCTCGTGCAGAGGATCACCAAGAACATCTTGGTGGTCAAGTGCAAGGCCAGCCAGAAGCACAGCCTGGGCTACCTGCATGCCTCCTTCGCCCAGAAGATGAGCCCCAAGACGCTGGCCGACCACAGGTTCTCCTGCTACTGCCAGGCTCCCCAACCCGGCCAGGGCGGCCCGACCGAGGAGGCGGAGG